AGCAAAAGTCCAAAGCAGGACCAGGCAATTCGGCCAGGGGAGTGAGGAAGCATCACAAACCGACCTCGTTTTTGCTTTATGTTTTTGGACAGGGACAAGCCGAGGGAATTGCCGAAGCCCCCCACAGTCTCCTGCCTTTGCAGAAACTTCTCAGGGGAATGGTGATAGTAGGACAGAGGGTCGTCTGCAAAAGGGCTTAACTTCTCCCACTCGCCATAGAGGGAATAGACCGGAAGGTCTAGAGATTTGGCTTTGCCAGCATCCTTTAAGCTGGGAGCTGAGAGCGCAATATCGATCTTCTTCTGGTAATGCAACTCCAGGGCTTTGGGAAGTAGGAAATCCTCGTTGTGCTCATTGTCGCTCAGGACTTTTGCAATATGGGCCTCTCCTTGTGCACCTTGCACCTGCGAAGAGAAGCGCTCCTGAAGCGAGGTCTTCACCTGCATGGGCCTAGGCTTCCCTGAAGGTCCCCTCCCTGTTCGAAGCGGAGATTGCTAGAAAACCGGATCCCTGAAAACCTCACTGTACCCGGCATACTCCCCACCACACCTTGTTGGACTTTGCGATGATGTCATCCAGGTCTGCCAGAACCGACTGAAAAGCTCCGGAAACTCCTTCCATGTCAAGCGGCCCTTGCAGAGCCAACGCTAACGCTGGGTGGAGCCCAAAGACGGCGCAGCGATTCAAGGCAGGTGACTCAAGGAAACCAGACCTGCGTGATGAAACACGCGTCACTGTGACTGTCAGAGGACTTTTCTGAAAAGGATCAGACAAGCAGCCCAATCACCCGTTGCCATCTGAAGACCCTTTGGTGTTCTCGGTCCGGTTGTTGGGCAACCAGAAAGATTCCCGCACTGAGCCTGGTAAACAGCTGACTTCCGCGAATTTCCGGGGACCACGCGTTTTCCGGACACTGGGTCCGCCAGCCTCGGTCCCCACCGACCACGGTGCGGACGCTGAGCTTTAGCAGGCCCTGAACGGCCTGGGATGGGGCTTGGAAGGATAGATGAGCCCCGGGAGATGCACGTGAGGTTCAATGCAGGCTGGGGTTTCTGTCGTCCCGGATTGAGACTCAGGCAATGACAACACAATCAAAAGCAGCGCTTTGCATTTAGTGACACTGCAGCTGTTTCCAAAGAAGCCATCACTTGCAGCTTGAGCCCAAGGATTCAAGCCTCAGAGCCTTTGACACACCAACCGTTTTCCCGAATACTCACCCTGCATCGAGTCCCAAAAGCCCCTGAGACATGGCACAAAAGAAAGAAACAAACCGCGAAGCTCTAAAAAAACATCGAATCTAACCGGCCCCTTGACAAAAATACCAAAGCACATCCTGAAGACGTTGCCTCTGTGCTCGGGCCGGGGCGTCGGGCTGGGCCGTGCCCGGGTCCCGGATGTCGCTGGAGTAGCAGTCCTCGCGACTTCAGAAGCATGGAGCCACATCAGAATCCGGCCTACCCTCCTACTGCACCGTCAATCATGAGCTCATGCTTGCAAAGTTGACGAGAATTTTGGGGGGCGTGCGGCCGAAGCTTACGAGACCAGGGTTGCAAGGACGGCAGACATCTCAGTGTGGAAGCTACGCCCGAGAAAACTCCCTTCGGAGAGCCTGCTCAGCCAGTTCCTCGACACTGAGGCAACACGGCCTCAGCGCGACCATGCTAGGGTAAGTCCTGGGGTCATTTTGGACCGCTGGCTGACAGCCCTCCTGAGCTACAGAGCCCCAGCCAGCACAAGCTTCGTCCGCGTGAGATCTACGAGCCCTGCATACTAGCTGCTCCCCAGTCGACAACAGCAAGCCTCATGCCTTCCCATTCAATCACGAGGCCAGCAACCGTAAGAACGCTTGGAGACCCCTCCCCCACGATGAAGGGCCCAGCTTCATGAAGGCTGCATAGCCAATCTTGAAGCAGCAGCCCTCAGCGCATCTTGAGTTCGACAACCAGTGCACTCTTTTGAATCATGGTTGATCCAAAGAGTCTCTTACTCCTCCATGCTTTCGGTGGCTGTTCAACATTGGTACATATGTGCGAAATGGCACTTGCACACATGCTCTAGAACAAAGAAGGCAGTGGTAGTGGCAGTAGTAGTTGTTGTTGTGGTTGTAGTTGTAGTCGCAGTAAGTAGTAAGTAGTTAGTGATTTGTAGTGAGTAGCGAGTAGTGAATAGTTAGTAGTTTGTACTTAGTACTTAGTAGCTACAGTAGTTACAGCAGTAGCAGTAGCAGTAGCAGTAGTAGTAGTAGTAGTAGTAGTAGTAGTAGTAGTAGTTCTAGTAGTAGTAGCAGCAGCAGCAGCAGTAGAGTGGTGTAAAAGTGCGGGCAGTCGCTGTCACAAAGCGTCAGATTGACATCAGCAACTCACGGTTTTGGCTGGTGAATATCCGCTTTCAGTATGGGCCCCATTTCCGCGGCCAAAAATCCGAGACCTGACCTGAAACTCAAAGGTCTTGACAAGAGCTGGGCGCAGGAACCTCAAGTGGCTCCACATTCGGCACCTGCGCGGCACATCGAGCAAGCAAGCTTTCTGCGAATTCAAATCACTGCGTAACTGTCGAGAGCCTGAGGGAGATATTTGGCCATGGCTACAAAGCACAGAGACACGTAGTACATACGTTATGTAAAGAATGACACCCGTTTAGCTGCCACTTCGGATGTTTTAGAGGAACACTTATGGTACATGAAAGGTCTCTTCCAGAATGGTGATCTCTCTGCTGCAATCCTGACTCCCAACCAATCATGACAACCTCACCATGAATCCGGTGTTCGACTCGACACCAGAATCTGCACTGATACAGTCAGGGGTTAATGGGATGAAAGGAACAAGTTCGAAACCCCTGAACATGAGCCCAGCTCACCTCATCTGCACCCTCGGAAGTCGCCAAGCCCAGGAGCAGAAGGCAAAGCGCCACCCTCCTCTCAGTGTGTACATCGTCGTGGCATGCCCGAGTTCTGGGGCTCGGGTCATCTACGGGATCTAACACTTATGCCTGCGTTTTGTGGGGACAACATGGTACGAAATTCCGTGACGAGAGAATTCTTCTTGCTCCCATCATGTTCAAAGGCTTGAACCCTAATCGGGACTCTAATCCTCAAACTTGTCATCCTGAATCCTAAACCCGTGGTGAACCCCTAAACCGTGACATGTACGGGGCCCGGACGCGGACTCACACATGTTCTACAAGTATAACAATTGCAAAACACAGGAAAACGCCTGCGTGTATGGGTGTTGTTTGTATGTATATACACACATATTTATATACATACATATATATATAAGTATATATATATATATACATAAGTACCTGTGACGAATGCACATGATGATGACATCGCTGCTAAAATCAAAGATCATGTCTAATGCGGTGAATCTAAGGTACGAACAGAATGCAACACCCCCGAACTCAGGCTGTGCAAGGACTCCTCTTGGAGGACTGAGCCTGGGCGAAGCACATGATGAGGCTCTGAGCTTAGGCCTTAGGGTCTTGCATTTAGTTTTTGAGTTCGTTGGGGTTCAGGCTTTCGTCGGATTTACGGTGTATAGTGGGGTGGTACGGATCGCGGCTAACCGGTTGGGTTTTGCCGGCGGTTGTCGGAGGCTGCTTGGTTTCGGTTGTCGCGGGGCTGTCATAGGGCACAAGACTACGGCATTTGCACGGCTTTGCTCCGTTTCCTGTCAAAGAATGAACGAGTAGCCTAGTGTAGTAGCAGTGGTAGAAAGTAGTAGTAGTAGTAGTAGTAGTAGTAGTAGTATTAGTAGTAGTAGTAGTAGTAGTAGTAGTAGTAGTAGTAGTAGTAGTAGTAGTAGTAGTAGTAGTAGTAGTAGTAGTACTGCTAGTACTAGTACTAGTACTAGTACTAGAACTAGTACTAGTACTAGTACTAGTAGTCGTCGTCGTAGTAGTAATAGTAGTGGTAGTTGTAGTGGTGGTGGTAGTGATAGTAGTAGTAGTAGTAGTAGTAGTAGTAGTAGTAGTAGTAGCAGTCGTCGTCGTAGTAGTAATAGTAGTGGTAGTTGTAGTGGTAGTGGTAGTGATAGTAGTAGTAGGCGTCGTCGTCGTCGTTGTTGGTGTAGTCGTCGTAGCGGTAGTGGTAGTGGTAGATATCTGGTACTGGTAGGTGGGAGGTCAAAAACTCACTGTTGCTCCTGCTGCTGCTACTGCGGCTGCTACTACCACTACTACGCTAATTCCGACGAGTACTGCCAGCATTACTGTTGCGAAGACTACTTTGTTCTCACGGCTATCGCACCCCACGCAGAAAAAGCGCGGCAAATCACCCGTGCTAACCCAGATAAGAGAGCAATTTGAAGCACTGCGGCTAGTTTCAAGACCGATACGGCGCATGATGCCTCACAATACTAACGTTATGACCGCGTACGTTCTCTTGGTGCAAGTGTGTCATTGCTACACACGCTTCTGGAATGTACTTGTCACGATTGCTAGTCTTGCTTGCCACGGCGATGACAGTCGGAGGCCCCCGCCGGTATCCAAGAAGCGGCAGGGAGTTGACCAAGCATGGCGTCTGATAACTTGAAATGACTTCAACGTCCAAGCGCAAGGCGCTCTGGTATTCTAGCAATACTCCTGCACGTAGTGGTGGAAGTGGTAATGGTAGTAACATTACAGTAGCAACATTGCCAACAGGCTACTGGCGGAGAAAAAATCACGCATTGTTCTGGGCTAACGTTCGAGTCAGTTACATCAACCATGGCTCGTATTCCAAGATCTGAGCCAAAGCAAGAGCCTCAACACTCAGACTGGGCGGTTGTGGCAGCTTCTGTGAAAGAACCAGACCTAGATGCCCGCTGCAAAGACGATAGCTCAAGAGTACCACCTTAAGTAGTGGGACACGTATAGCAAACATAATCATACGCTCAGTAACAACAGCAGTAACGACAACAGTATGGGAGCTCATGCAGTAATGGCAAGCAACAAGACATGTGATCATCCAGAGTTGACAGGCCGAGCCCATGCTCAAAGAAATCGGGCGGAGCATCGGCCTTCATCAGCACTTGCCGAATCGCCAGGACGGACTTCTGTTCCTGCTCTTGAGCCCCAAACTCCCAGGCTCCAAGACCCCAAAACCAAAGCGCGAAAACCCCAGACCTGAAGTCCCCCACCGAAAACTCTAAACTCCAAAGCCCTCCCACCTCAAGGCTGCTAGAATCGGAACCGGTCGCGTAGGTCATCGAGTTGCTTGTTCGATTAGCAACGGCCGTAAGCTACAACCGAAGCATACCAAGCAGTTCTCGGGAAATTAGTGGTAGATAAGAGGAACTGAAGCAAAATTTACGTTGCAAAAAACCATGGCAAAATAATAAGAAAGACAAGACTGTTTTGAGCAGTCACTGTTATGCCGGAGCAGCAACGGTCAGCCGATTAGCAGGATGGAGAAAGGACAAAAACCACTGCAATCCACGGCTTGTTTTGGATGCGTGACTTTAGCCGACCCGACTCGAGGACCTGATTCACAGCGCTGCTTCGCGCCCAATACTTGCAACTAGCACAGCAGCACCAGCAACAAGACAAAGGGGCAGCAAGGAGTGGTAAAAACGGGATTAACAAGACAGAAGGTAGGAGCGGCAGGACGATGCAAAGATTGAGTAAAATTGAATCCGTATTGTGACTGTTGGCAAGGTGAGAATAACAGCAACAGCAGCGATGTGGATATCAGCTTCGCCCGGGCCTCTGCCCTCTTCTTCACCTCTTCCTGCCTCTTTTTCTCCTCCTGCCCGGCAACTGAAGACTTCTCAAGTTGCACCTCCAGAGTTGAGCAGGCTTCAGTGGAGGGTCTTTCTGGAAAATGGATTGACTCCTCCACCCTTCTTCTATTTGCTTCCTCAATCTTCTTCTTGTTCTCCTGCAGAGCGGCAGGTGTCATCATCGGCGCACGGGTACACGCCTGCTGCACGGACCAAGAGACCAAGGCCATCCATCCCATGCCCCACGCCTCGGCCCTCTGCCTGGCTTCCTCAACTCTCTTTTTCTGCTCCTCGCAACGGGCAGAGAGACTGCGAGAGACGAGAGAAAGAAAGAAGAGACAGAGAGGGAAAGGCAGAGAGAGAGAGAGAGAGAGCGAGACAAGCCTGCGCAGTGCAGGGATGCTGTGTCGGCTCAGATTCACGGCTCTAATCACACTCCACAACCATTGAGCTGCAAAATGATCCTCTGCTTGCCGCATCTTTTCAGCCAGGATCTGCTGCTGCCGGGCCTCGCAACATGCGCACTTCCAGACCGGCAGATACTCTTGCGGCTCAGATGTGCGGCCAACCCATACTCGAGACCTTGATCTAGTGCCTTCAAAGCCTAGCCGGTCCGACACGCCTGGCCTCGGCTTGCTGCTTCAAGGCCTCTTGCTGCCTCAGACCCGCCGCGGCTGCAGGGCTGGGAGTCGCGACGTCTTATGCAACTAAGCAGGAGTCTATATATATATATATATATATATATATTATATATATAGCCCTAAACCAAACAGGCTTTCAGGAATGGGGTTTCCTGTTTCAGGTTCAAGGGCTCAGGGTTTGGAACCTGCAGCCTGAAGCTCCAAATCGCGTGTAGGCACTACAATGCGGGGGGGGTACTATACGGGTTGCTAACAGGGTTCGATAAGGATTCTCAACCAGAGGTTTGGAGGGTTTGGTTACGTGGTCTACCGGCTCGATGTCTTGTCTACAACCCCTTTCATCGACCATACTGCATAAATCCCTTAGCAAAGGAGAACGTGGCCGAGAAACTCGAATCAAGAGATCGTGGGGCCTAGGCGATTGGATGCCGAAGGCCCAAAACAGATCTCAACCCTGTACATCGAACGGCCACTCAGGAGCCAACGCCGCAAGGCCCTGCGCGGATGGGAAGATGTTACGGCTAGCCGGGCAAGGCTGCAGCTGCCAGGACATGTGGATAGCCCATGGTCCCGTCTGAAACACATGGCTCGCACACGGCTCATTGCTATGTCTGGTTTGCCAGAGGCACAAACAAACTCAACTTGCTACGAGTCTAACGACATCTTCAAACTCGAAACCGTCGGTCACCCTCCTCAACCCTGTTGTGACACACAGTCAACAAATCGTCACATGCCCATACCTTAGGCTCACCACAAAACCCAACCCCCCCTCCCCCACAGGAAGCTTCGAGAGCCAGGCCCTAGGGGCAAGGACCAGGGTCTGGTCCACGGCGCCATCGTAGGGCACCTGTGCGGTCTTCTTGGGCCATCTGCTCCCTTTCCATCGTAGCTCCTACATGCTCAGGTTGGTGTCAGAATTTGCGATGAGATGCTACCACCTGTCATGGCAGGAACGGGAACCGTAAGCATACCCTTGACGACTTCAGATGTGACACTGAGAAACAATGATACTGATGATTAACCATCACGAAGAAAAATGTAATCAGAACATGGTGCAGCAGGATGCAAAGTGCATCTGCCTCAGGCATCAGAAGCTGATAGAGGATGCCTTCCATCCGGTTCGCGGTGGCGTCTGCGTGGCTCGCGTCGGCTGGTAGGCCCAAACCTGCGGCACAAGCTCCGACCACAAACTCTGCCGACTGCAGCAGTGACACGAGTAACATACAGAAACCTTTAGGACTGACCTTGGTAGCAGCTACAACTGCAGCATGTGCATGTATGCATATGCTAATGTACTGCAACCTAATGTCATGTAATGCAGTGCAATGTAATGTGGTGTAATGTAATGCCATGTATGGCATGTATGGCACGTATGGCAGGCATGGCATGCATGCATGTGTATTTCCGTATGTCCATATGTCCGTATGTACGTATGTTTATACATGTATATATATATATATATATATAGGTACGTATGTATGGTATTTATGGTTGTATAAGATCATCATGAGTGCCAGTAGTTAGTACACAGCTGCAAAGCACCAAACCCCAACCACCTGGTCGCCGCCAATCTTCGGCCCAAACCACCAGCCACTGAACTCGACGCCATCGCGCTCGTCCCAGTAGTAGAGCCTTGCTTGTCTTGCCTACGGACCCGGGAGCCAAGTTGAGCTTGCAATCGCCCTGCTAAAGACGGCTCTGCAGCTCAGGAGCATGACGTCCAAGCCACTCACCTCACAGGCACATGGTACCCCGAAGTGATGTCTCAGAACAGCTGAACTCTCTCTCTCTGAATCTCAGAGCAGCAACTATAACTAGAAGCTGGCAGAAGAACCTAGCATCGAAGACGTCAGCTGCCCTTGGGAGAAGCAGGGAGGCCTTCTGCTCCTTCCGGTACGCCGGCTTGTTGTGGTTGGAGCCATCTACAGAGTAATTCCCCCTGACCTGCGGCACAGCTTTGAGGTCAGCCCCGACAGGAGATCAAACCCGAAGCCGAGTCCGAGGTCTTGGCAATCGGACCGACACTGACGTGGGTGCAGCCACTCACGCTGATCTGGGCCTCAACTGCTTTGCCGTAGGTTTTGCGAGGCACCGGAGGCTTCAAGGATTCGCAGCCTAGGGCTCGAAGAAAGAAGTCTTGGAACAGCGAGAATACGATCGTAGCAACAGTTGCAGCAGCACTTTCAGCAGCAATCGTAGATTTGGGTTTAAGGATTTAGAGATCAACTTGTGCACTTAGGGCTCAGGGTATCCCCCCTTTGATGCAAACCATGCATCAACGGATGCAGGACAATCCTTCATTGCGGACAACGACACAATCGCTCCACTGGGAAATCGGGACGTGGACCCCATCCCACGACGAAATCAAGACTGCGTTGTCAGCCGTTAGTTTTCCACGTCAGGCGGCAGCTTCGTGCAAGAGACGCGGCAAAGTGATGTGGTTTGGAATTGATCCTGTTATGCTCTGTCCATCTTCGAGCCTCTAGAACCTGACCTAAACCTATGGCACTGCTCAGCATAAAGTGCGGATGTGTTCGTAATCCGAAAGGAGAGCTGGCGGAGCTGCTTCGAGCATGGCAAGTCCACCACCGGCGGAAAAAGCAGCACCATAGCGAATAGAAGACGTGAATACCCTGCACAGCCTATTGCACTCAAACTGATGGACACGAACACACGCAGTGCTGCCGAGTGGTGGATGATCATCTTCTCACAGAGTTCTGTACAAGAGGCAGCCAACATGCAACCTCTACTTGAGGATCTAGGGTGTCCGCTTTGGCATCGAAGATCCACTTGGTGGATGCTTCTCACAATGCTTGCAGGTATCATTGCCATGGAAACAGCAATCATTCGTTCTGCTTGACTGCATGCAGCTGGGGCCTACATCCGGTCTCGCGCATCCAGATCAGTTTCGCTCTCCTGGCCGGGTGCAACCTGAGCTGCCCCACTATCAACTGCAGCTTCAATTTCACCCGGTCCAGGTAGAATGTAGATTCCGTCCCAATGCATGATCACACGTCCACCAGGAGTTGCATGTCAAGCACAAGAGGAGGGGCCGTAGAGAGAGAGAGAGAGAGAGAGAGAGACAGAGAGAGACAGAGAGAGCGAGAGAGAGCGAGAGAGAGAGAGAGAGAGAAAAAAAAAAAGAAACGAAGAAAGAAACAAATAAAGAAGGAACGAAATGCAAATCATGCCGCATCTACACGCACGATCACGAAGACGGAGACAAAGATACAGAGAAAGCGAAACAGAAAGAGATGGAGGACGAGGACGAAGAGGAAGAGGAAGAGGAAGAAAGAGAGAGAGAGAGAGAGAGAGAGAGAGAGAGAGAGAGAGAGAGAGAGAGCGAGAGCGAGAGCGAGAGCGAGAGCGAGAGCGAGAGCGAGAGCGAGAGCGAGAGCGAGAGAAGAGTGCTGAATGTTCTGAATCCATCATGCGCTGCACCAAGTAGTTTCGGCATTGATTTGAAGCCGGGGCCAACTAGTTATCTCATCTCCTTGGTGGCGACTGAGGGATGTGCACGACCATCGTCTCGATCCACCACGGCTTCACAGCTCTCCATGGTGAACCGGATCAAGATCTTGTACCTGGTCGTTTGCCAAACAGCGGCAGCTCTGCAAGGTAACTTGTCAGGCACCAAATTCATAACAGCAGACTAGCAGCCTAGGTCAAACAGAGTGACTGCCTCTTGCACGGCTGCCATTCCTTTTAGGGGCAGCACCATTCCATGATCTCCAGTTCTCGCTCCGATCTCAGCTCGAGCTGGTAGTCTGTGTAGTCCTTTGGCAAGGGGTCTTCCTTTCTTGTCGATTCGCCGAATCCCCCTCTGCTCCCAAGAAACCCTCAGGACCTCCTTGAACTGGAGCAATATGCGAGTAGAGTAGGGGAACTTCACCTGCATGCAAAGTCGGACGATGGGCTTGGCTGCGTTGGTGCGTAACGCATGCACCATGCGACGGCGGCTTTGAGGTGTTACATGGCACATATTAGAGCGGCGGCCTAAACCTATTGTTCGACCTGCTCATGCCGAGATCTCGGGTCGGCCCCTATCGGTTATGCAGAGATCAACTACAAGATGCCATGCCGAGAACATGGGTCGGCCCCTATCGGTTTTCCTACTAGACCCTAGTTTTTCACCATCTCAGTTGCGCTCTAGTCATGTTAGCTCTTACGGAGGTTTTGTCCGATGCTCATATGATCATGTAGAAAACGTCGACCATAACTTTGATTATTGTTCGGTACGACGGTTCCCGAAAAAAATTGCATGGCGCAGTCGACTGCAGTATTGGTGCCTTCCCAACGACCTTCGTTCTTGCCACTGCCGTTTTCGAAAGCCGGAAACACGCAGCAACGGGGAGTACAGAGAGACAGGAGCAACGGCAAGGGCGTGCAGCTGCAACAGTGCACAGGACCTCACCCCGCACAACAGCTTGTCGCGGAGGAATGCTTAGACTTAGATGCCATTAGACCCCCCCGATGTGCTCGTGTTGAAATGCAGACGCTCAAGGGGTCTGCTCTTCACCTGTGTCCGTGTCACGCGCTTCAGCTGCGTCAGGTCCAGGCAGCGCACCGGTCGAGGGCGCGGCCTCCCACCGTGCTCACATTCTGAAGACCAGCACAGCGTCAAAGAACACAACGAAGAAAAGGTCTCAAGTACTGCGGGTAACCAGACAACGAGATCGGCAAAGTTGACCGCAACACGTTTCTCGAGGTTATCAAACGCAACATCACAGCATCGCAGCATAGCTGAGACCACGGCTCTTTGTTGCGGACTACCTGATTCAAGCTATGCAAAGGCTACTCCATCTCTCCAAACGGCATTTACACATGTCTGGATAGATCTCAGTACCGCCCAGGCGATCAGACCAATCTGTCTAGACGGCCGAGGGAGGAACCCAGTGACTCTGACAGACAGGAGCGGGTTTCAAGAACTGGGATCACGAATCTGCCCACTATGCATGTCGTATCATGCACATTCAATAGCAAAACTCCTTAGCTCTCCAGCACTCGAGTTGTTGATGTCGGAATGGTGATTTCTACATCTACCGTCCCTTGACAAACACTTCGACCCCGCTGGAGCAGACCTGCGGCGGGCGGGGCTGCCGGAGCTGATCTGCAAATGACGGCCTCCGGTGGCCACGTGGTGATCCCCTGGGAGCCTCTGGAGCCTCTTGCTGCCCTTATTTCTGTTGGAAAAACTGCTTGGAAGGGTATCGCTACGAAAAAGCCAGGAGCAGCTGTCACAGGTCTACGACTTCAGGTTCAGGGGAAAGGCTGAAGGGCTGACGGCCGAAGCTTAAGCACGAGTGTACGAAGAATAGGCTGGATCTACCGACGTCAAAGGAGCCGCCATCGGTATCGCCTCCACCAACGGATCTGCCCATCCTTCAACTCGAAGAACCTGCAGCTTCTCTGTTTTCCAGGCTCTGGGCACTCGGCGGCTTTTCGAAAGCGTAAAAAGGGTTTCTTTGCGTTCTGGCAAGGTAAGGCAAGTAAGGGTGGAGAAAGCTCGGTGGCTGAGCTCATCCCAACAATCGCTTCATCCGAGTCTTCGCCTCGCCTCAACATGCGATGGGAACTTCAGCCTGCCGGACGCGCACCTGATGGTCCAGCGGAATCGTGATCTTCCTGCACGTTTCTGCAGATACCTGGCCGTTCTTGGAGCGTTTTACAAACATGTGGTCCATCTATGGGAAATCTGCACAAGCTGACGTTGACTTCAGATGCTGATGGTAAGAGTCATTGGCAAAGCCCCAAATGCACTTGACAAGCCATGCCGGCTTCGGCCCCTCTCTCTTGGCGTAGATCAGGTTGCCATCCTAAGCCGGATCCGCATCCAAGGCGAGAATGCTCCAAAATCCAGTAGCCCAGTCCTCGTGAAGCGCCAGCTGTTCTTGCTTCACCGGCTCCTGCCAGAACGGTACCTGGAAGCTTCTTGAGGGTCTGTTTTCCGTTTGCATGTGGCCCAGAGCACAAAGCAGCTTCCGGTGGAGTTTGGGAATCGGGAAAGGCAACGCGAGAGTGCCAGGTTTCCTTTCTACGCTGGACTTCCTCAAAGGGATTGACTGCTCAGGCAAAAAACTGCCAGTACAGCAGCACGTTGAAGCTTGCCCTTTCATGTTGGACCAGAACACCACGGACGGCCTTCCACTTCTCCTCGCCAACTTGCACATCTTCCCGCTTGGGCGGTGGCATGGCAGGTTCCACCGGCTAGCGGCTAGGAAGGGTCCGAAGTCTCTGCTGACCGCGGAGGTGAGGTAGTTTGGTGTGTCGAGGCCTTTTGCAGGCTGATCATCGTAGACGCTGCATTTTCAATCCAATTAGCAACGACGCCACATGTTGAGCCAACTTGCCAACACTCCACTGGCTTCCGATGGTGTAAGACGGGTCTGGCATGAGCAAAGAAACAGCAGTCTCAGAAGCACAGGACTGAGTACTGAAGTTCAGACAGGTTTCATGAACACATGGAGGGAACAAAGTGATCTCAGGCTCCAACCGCATTCCCAATCTCCGGTGTAGCCGGCGTGGCTTGCTGCGGCGCCACTACTGCTTGCCTGGCACGTGCACTCCGGCCACAGCTTCGGCTTCTGTACACCGCACAGACGAACCAACTTGCAACAGTCGCTGCAGCTGTCGTAGGTGAAGCTCGCACATTCAAGCCGAAGCGAAACGTCACATTGCAATAACGAAAGTGTGCCGAACTTGCAGAGAAGACACAGTTGAAGGAGTCGATTCACAGCTTCAATTGCTAACCCTACTGTGGCTTGCCGGCAACTGTTTCGCTCAAGAGCACAGTCTGGTGAGGTGCAGGGAGTCTCATAGAGACAAGGAGCACGTTGGAACCTAGATGGAGCCCCGGCGATCTCACTCTTGACCAGCGGCCTTAAGCTGAGCATTCTGGAAAAATCCCAGCCACTCGCGGCTAGACAGGTCTGTTGCAGGCCAAATCAGCTATAGCCCGAGCACGATATCCGGATGCTTGCGAAGTGCTAGTAAGCTCTACTTAATGGTGCAGTATCCGCTGCAACAGCACCGCTTCAAATGGCGTCGCTGTAGTGTTTCAGAATGTTGATTTATTTCCAGACGAATGGAGACTTCCACTCTCCCATGATGTCGAAGTTCAGTGGGCCAGCTTCCAGGAATGACCGGCAAGGACCGGTGCGAAGCCTCCATCCTAAAAAACAGTCTCCATAGAGTCATAGAGCTTCTGGAAACAAGGCCACGAAGGGGAACCACTGCAAAAGACACTAGTCACTAGCGGAATCTAGCATCGGATCCGATTAAGAACCTAACCCAGACGACGTCAAGCTTCTATGTCTTTGCTGTAGCGTGGTGCGTCACTGCCAGGCGCATGAAGCGGTCCCGATCGGAGAGCCCGTGCCCTTCCCGGCGTCACCTCCTCTGGAAGGATCCCACCGCAGAGCTCTAATCCATAATTCTCGGCCTACACCGAGGCCTGAAAACCAGCCTTGTGGCGACTCCGGGCCTCCGGTTGCTTGAACTATTATACTCGGTCACATATTGAATACTGTGTGTATATATACATATGTATATACATGTATACATATATATATATATATAGATATCAGTTACTACGATCGCAAACGCTCGGTCCCCTCGCTGAACAGACGAAGGGGCGGCCACACTTTTTTCTGCGACCGCAACGTGGGAGTCGGCCACAAGTCCGATCATCAAAACTTCACTCGATCTTCACACATCCGATCGGACCCCCGATCGCCGAGGGGTGCGCCATAGCATTCACTACGGACCGCAACATCAATCCGATCGGAAACATCAGACGAGCGATATTCCCGATGACAAAATTAAAAGTCTTCGACCGGGTCATCCGGCTCGGGCGAAGGCTCTTCGATTGGATCTTCATCAAGGGGAGCCGCTCCGAGCAGGTCGATCAGCTGCCGCTCGGCCGCCCGAAAAGCTGCATCTGGAGCAGCCTTGGCTGTGGCACGAGCAGGTGCCGCGCGCCCGGCTTGGTACGCCGCGATCTGGGCGGGGCTGGGCGGCGCTTTTGTCTGCGGAGTCGAACTTCTCGTCGGCACCAAGATCTGGGTGCCGGGAGGGAGCTCCACGTTGGGCGGCAACTGATCCAGCCGCCGAGGTGGCTGCCCTGGAACCACGTAATGAGCAGGACCGCACATCAGGCGGCACTTCGTCGAGCTGCCTAGGGGGCTGTCCCGGAACCAAGTACTGAGCAGGCTCGGCGAACATAGCAGGCCGACCCGCGGGGGCCGTTCGGCCCTGACGAGGCTGGCCACCCGCGGGATCCAGATAAAAGATCGGCTGATCAAAGCCCCGATTGGGAGCGGCTGGGGCCGGCGGAGTTTTGGGCACCGGCCCCCAGCACACGGCAGTCCGGCCACCTGGTCCCAGTTAAGGGGAGGATCCGCCCCGTGATCATAGCCGGCCGGCTGGTGACGATCGCGATCACGATGGGCCGGCGGCGTCACCCAGGGAATCCCTCTGCAGAAATGGCACATGTCGAACCGGCAATCGCAAGCCGTGCACAAAGGAGTGAGTTGATTGGGAGCCCACTCTTCGCGTGGGACCCGAACGGCTGCGTAACATTCTTCGCCGTCCCCGTCGCAGAAACAGCCGGTGAACAGGCCGCAATCCACGCAGGGACGACAGAGCTGGTCTTGCGTGCCAAAAGCGAGCGCTTGAAGGCCCACGTCACTGCGAGGATGCCGCATACCGAAAAGAAAATAGGGTGGAGAGGGCGGGATTTTTCGGTATGGCCCGATCGGCTATCGCCAAAATGGCCACGGTAGAACATGATGACGTCTGTTCTAACGATCGCGAAACTGATCTCCTAATTCCTACCCACCAGACCGATGATTAGGAAACCATTTACTACGATCGCAAACGCTCGGTCCCCTCGCTGAACAGACGAAGGGGCGGCCACACCTTTTTCTGCGACCGCAACGTGGGAGCCGGCCACAAGTCCGATCATCAAAACTTCACTCGATCTTCACACATCCGATCGGACCCCCGATCGCCGAGGGGTGCGCCATAGCATTCACTACGGACCGCAACATCAATCCGATCGGAAACATCAGACGAGCGATATTCCCAGGCCCTCAAACTCTTTTAGGAAAGTCCGAGGGGACGGTGATCCAACCGCAAAGCAGACCTGTAGCGACATCACCACGAGAGGGGTTATCCGCCGGATTCGAATCGATCGGTACCCGATCGATGTACACTGAGCACCTAAGCTCCAGAACAAGCTCCCAGAAAATTCCTACGAGCTCACACACATCCTCTTTCGCAGAGTAGCCTTTGATCAAAGCTGCACCTACAGGCTCGGAGTCTATAACGAGGAGAACCAGCGTTCCACGGATCTCTTGCTTGAAAGTCTGGATCGCGGCGACCGCAGCCAAAAGTTCAATCATGCAGATCTGGGTCTTCCGGGGAAACCATCTCGACATGATCTGTCGAGACACTCCGGAGGCGAATTGCCTAGGCGGGTCATCTCTAGTGAACATGACTCCTCCAATCATCTCAGAAGAAGGATCCTTGGGATTCGAACTCGGAGCGGATCCATCCGTGAAGATCACGACGTCGGACTTCCGAAACCCCGAGCTCGGTATAGGCCAACGAGAACTGCGGGGCTTGCTGAACCGCTGGACGATGTCCCTGAAAAGGGCCCGCAGGAGGGAACGACGTGGCTGCAATCGAGCGAACCTATTCACTTCCACCTCCCACGCCGAATTTTTCGGTATGGCCCGATCGGCTATCGCCAAAATGGCCACGGTAGAACATGATCACGTCTGTTCTAACGATCGCGAAACTGATCTCCTAATTCCTACCCACCAGACCGATAATTAGGAGAAATACATTTATATATATATATATATGTGTATGTATGTATGTATGTATGTATGTATGTATGCTGCGATCATGCACATATCACATATCTACTATACGGATGATAAGTTATGCGACATTAATCGGTGCGAAGCTCACAGAGACCTTCGCCATAGGATGGCCTGATACGCGTGCAGACTACGATTACGAGGGGTCTGGATGCCCACACGAATTCACTCGAAAAAGGGCGGTGCCTGTCCGGACCACTACGACGAGGTCACCCAACGCACAACTTCGGCTTGGAAGTGGATCTGCGGCCTTCTCTGTTAATGCCAGAAAAGTCTTCACCGTGTCGCTGCACTGCCTCTGCCTCTGCTGCGCGACGGGTGCTCCGATTCGCAGTGGCTCAGAGTCACACAAGGCAGGCACGCCCAGGCTGGTCGCCGCTCGTTGGAGGTACACGGCACGCCGGGTGAACGCTTCCCTTGAGACTGAAGCCAGGCATGCTGGGCGAAGATGCCCGACTTTCGGGCTTTCGATTACCAAGGCCTTCCGGAAGGCCAGTCACGATCCACGTTGAAGCATCAGATCGGATTTCTTTGGTGCAAGCGGACCAGACGTCAGATGATCGTCATACCGACGTGAAGCAAGCCTGTACAAATGTTGCACGCACGGCAACGCAATGTAGAGCAGTCCGAATATGTTTCACTGGCGAACCTGACGGCTCTGCACTTGGACTTGCTGTCTCGTTAGGTTGCAGGTTCAGGATTAGAAGTCAGTGGGTCACGGAAGTGGCAGTCTTGGTAGGAGTGGTAGTATCAGTCGCAGTATTCCTAGTCTCATTGTTGTTCTCGTTGCTGCTATTGCTCTTGCTGCTGCTAGTGCACTTGCTAATGCTGTCGCCATCGCGAATGCTGGCGCCGGCGTGCTGGTGCCATTGCTAGCGCTAGTGCCATTGCTACTGTGTTTGCTATCGCTATAAGTTTAATTGCCATTGCCATCAGTAGTACTTGCATAATTCATCATACTCCCTTACTCGTACTCGTAATGTTGCTCTTATCATTACTAAGTATTAAGAGGGGTCGCAGTAGCTGTGGTAGTAGTTACTTGCTGTACTACTTGCAGTCGTCGTGGTGATGGCAGCAGCAGCAGGAGGAGGAGTAGTAGTAGTGGCAGTAGTAGTAGTAGTAGTAGTAGTAGTAGTAGCAGCAGTAGTAGTAGTAGTAGCAGCAGCAGCAGCGGGAGTAGTAGTAGTAGTAGTAGTAGTAGTACTAGTAGTAGTAGAAGAAGAAGAAGCAGCAGCAGTAGGAGTCGCAGGCGCAGGCGCAATCGCAGTCGGAGTCGCAGTCACAGTCGCAGCCGCAGCAGCAGCAGCAGCAGCAGCAGTGGCAGCAGCAATAGGATTACATAAGATAGTAGTCGGAGGAGGACGAGGCGGAGCAGGTAGGTACGTTGGAGGCAGGAGACAGTAGGAGGCAGGAGGTAGCAAATAGCAGGTAGTGGCTAGTGGGTAGCAGGTAGTAGGTAAGGGGTAGTAGGAAACGGGTACTTGTACTACGTAGTAGTCGGCAGCCAGCAGAAGGCAATGGGCAGTGTGCAATAGATAAACAATTGGTAGGCAGTAAGAGTTGGAATAGCAGTGGCAGAAGCAAATTGCTCTCACTGAGACTCATAACAGACACCGCACCACTGACGGTACTTGTTGTAGGAACAGCTATGGATCTGGCGCCAATTCTACTCGCAACAATCCAGCAGCGATCATTGCCAAGCAAAGCTTGGGTAAACATTGCAATCGCAATAATGGCAGCAAGAATTCGTTTTTGTGACAGTTTTAGGATGATTAAGATGCGACTAGTTTTCTTATGTCGACCAGTCTTGGCCATCGTGCTAGCAAAGATCTTTGGGGCTCGATGGAACAGCAAGCTCCGAAAGTTGGACAAAGGGACAAGGATCTGGGGTGCACGAAGCATCACTCTGGCGCAGCGGAAGAGCAAGCCACGATCACAAACGACGTGAACAAGTCTGCACCAGCAACATCAGGCACAGCACTGACGGATAAGCATCATGAGGACAGCGCCCTGATGCTTCTTGATCGCAGGAAACCTTGTCTAGTGAGACATTGACCACACATCGAAATGCCAATCCACACGTCGAATGATCTGTTGTTCGCCATTTGTAAACTGCTGCCGTGCATGTGCATCATGTCCATTCCTGTGTCTTGGCGGACGATGCTAAAACGTGATGGCGCAAGCAAGCTTCCACTGATTTTCTCTTTTCCGCTTACCTGCTCCTACTCACCGCAACTCGGTGCACAAGGCAAATAAAGCGAAACGGCGAGACCTCAGGCATAGAGCGCGCTGGCATCCTCTGTGCTCTCACTGCGAGGGCTGGTAGCTGCGTACTTCACCCGCAGCCGCTCCAAAGCGTCCAGCACGGAAACGACATAGTCAGACTCGTCCACTGTTTTACGGAAGGAAAGTCCCACTAAGCCTGACAGGAGGCATGCAAATGTGCAAAACCGCTGGGGTTCTGTGTGTCAGTCTTATGAGACTTGCTGGTCAGCCCTGACTCAAACATGAGGCAGCAGCGGAAGCAACAGTAGAGACTCTTTGGCAAAAGCAGCAGCAGCAGCAGCAGCAGCAGCAGTCATGATTGTGGTGTGTTTGTGCTGGCAACGTGAGTGGTAGGTATGGTGGTGGCCGCAAGCACAGAAGTAGCAGCAGTAGTAGCAGTGGTAGTAGTAGTAGTGGTAGCAGTAGTAGCAGTAGCAGTAGTAGCAGTAGTAGCAGTAGCAGCAGTAGTAGCTGTCGTCGCAGTAGTAGCAGCAGTAGCAGCAGCTGTAGTAGCAGTAGCAGTAGCAGCAGCAGAGGTAGTAGCAGTAGTCGCCGCAGTAGCAGTCGCAGTCGCAAGTGTGGTCATAGGCATCGTCGTAGTCGTAGTCACGCGCAGTCGCAGGTGTGCCGTAGTGACAGTCGCGGTCACAGTCGCAGTCGCGCTTGTGGTGGTGGTGGCGGTGGTGGTGGCGGCGGCGGTGGCAGTCGCGGTGAAAGCAGAATGACCTGCAGCTGCAGCAGCTCTAGCAGCAGCAGCAGCAGCAGCAGCAGCAGCAGGAGCAACATGAGCAGCAGTAGCAATTGTAGAAGTCATCATCGGCGTCCTCCTTTTGGTGGGTTTCGCCGTCATAGGTGCTGATGATTGTGATGACGACGATGGTGCTGGGAAGTAAATTGGTGCTGATCATGATGGCAATGATGATGATGATGATGGTGACAATGGTGGGAACGTTCTCGATGCAAGAAGATGATGACTCCGTGTAATGGAGAGCTTGAGCATGGCGACAATTCTCTTACCATCCTATCATGAAACTCCGGCCTGCGAACGTCATACGGGCAAAGACCTTGTCCAAGTTGGACATCCGGCTGTCCGTCAACTCTTCCTCGGCAGAAGCCCGCAATTGTTGATGCTGTCTGCGCTGGCCCTGGGCTGATCTCCCATTTGGAAGACTTGGGAAATTCCTGAATGTTGCTTGGGACCGCCTCGAAATGCAGAGGAGCTGTAACCATGACTCTGCGACCGGGCCTAACCTGACTTTCTGAGCAGAGCCACGGGTAGAGCAGGGGCACCTGCTGAAACCTGCCAGGCAGCTGAGCATCCCCGAGTGCGTCTTCATTCTCAGCTCTATATGCGATCATGGCGATGATCATGAAGGAGACGAAGCATGATGATTAGCAGCAAAAACTAGCTCTTCCTCTTGCCTTGTCTTTCGGGCTCGGCTAGTGACCATCTTCGGTCCAGGACGCTCAGCAGACTCAAACTTGAAGATACCGGAACTCATCGCCATTGCTACACCATCCCTCTCTCGTCATCAGAACTGCACTTCCAGAAAGTCCATGCGGGATCCTGTTGCATATTGAACCGGAAGGTGACGTCCTATCTGTAAGACTACTCATGACCTGATGTTACCCCTAGCGCTGCTTCTACTGTCCTTGTGCTCTGCTCAGACGACGATGATACCCGATAGCCATCACTGTCAACATCATAACAATATTGAAACCATGCAGGCATCCGCTGTGGCATGGCAACTGACAACAACGCCGAGGTAGTTCGAAAAGCAACAACCAATACGACAGTACGAAGCGGTGCTTGCAGCTGGTGGCTGAACCAGACAGGGCCGCTCCAGATTCCAGAATCTGTTCGATGAATCGATTCTTGCCACTACTCACACCACAGCCCCTAACAAGAGTAAGGCAGCATTCGGCCCGGTTCAGTAGCGGTGGTGAGAGTAAAGTGGTTGTAGTAGTAGTAGTAGTAGTAGTAGTAGTAGTAGTAGTAGTAGTAGTAGTAGTAGTAGTAGTAGTAGTAGTAGTAGTGTGTAAACAAGTGGTGGTAGTAGTAGTAGGAGTAGTAGTAGTAGTAGTAGTAGCAGCAGTAGTAGTAGTAGTAGTAGTAGGAGGAGTAGGAGTAGGAGTAGGAGTAGGAGTAGGAGTAGGAGTAGGAGTAGCAATAGCAATGGCAGTAGCAGTAGTAGTGGTACTCGTAGTAGTAGTAGTAGTAGTAGTAGTAGTAGTAGTAGTAGTAGTAGTAGTGTAGTAGTAGTCGTCGTAGTCGTAGTCGTAGTAGTCGTCGTAGTAGTAGTAGTCGTAGTAGTAGGGAGTAGGAGTAGGAGTAGGAGTAGCAATAGCAGTAGCAGTAGTAGTGGTAGTAGTAGTAGTAGTAGTAGTAGTAGTAGGAGTAGTGGTGGTAGTAGTAGTAGTAGTCGTAGTAGTGGTAGTAGTGGTAGTAGTAGTAATAGTAGTCGTGGTAGTGGTAGTGGTAGTGGTAGTGGTAGTGGTAGGGGTAGTAGTGGTAGGGGTAGTAGTGTAGTGGTAGGGGTAGTAGTGGTAGGGGTAGTAGTGGCAGTGGTAGTAGTGGTAGTGGCAGTAGTGTAGTGGTAGGGGTAGTAGTGGTAGGGGTAGTAGTGGCAGTGGTAGTAGTGGTAGTGGCAGTAGTGGTAGTGGTAGTAGTGGTAGTGGTAGTGGTAGTGGTGGTAGTAGTGGTAGTGGTGGTAGTAGTGGTAGTGGTGGTAGTGGTGGTAGTGGTGGTAGGTGTGTGGTAGTGGTGTGTAGTGGTAGTAGTGGTAGTAGTGGTAGTGGTGGTGGTAGTGGTAGTGGTAGTGGTAGTAAGTGGTGGTGGGTGGTGGTGGTGGTGGTGGTGGTGGTGGTGGTGGTGGTGGTGGTGGTGGTGGTGGTGGTGGTGGTGGTGGTGGTGGTGGTGGTGGTGGTGGTGGTGGTGGTGGTCGAGGTAGCGGTAGTGGTAGTGGTAGTGGTAGTCGTTGTCGTAGTGGTAGTCGTTGTCGTAGTGGTAGTGGTAGTGGTAGTGGTAGTGGTAGTGGTAGCAGCAGCAGTAGCAGTGGCAGTAGCAGTAGCGGCAGCAGCAGTCGCAGTCGCAGTCCTGGTCCCACCCAGTCCCATTCCCAGTCGCAGGAGCAGGAGCGGGAGCAGGACGAGGAGGAGGAGGAGGAGAAGCAGGAGATAGCAGGAGGAGCAGCAGCAGCAGCAGCAGCAGCAGCAGCAGCAGGAGCAGGCGCACGCGCAGGCGCAGTCGCGGTCGCAGCCACAGTCGCACTCGCATGCGCAGTCGCAGTCGCAGCAGGAGCAGGAGTGGGAACAGGAAGGAGGAGCAGCAGCAGCAGCAGAACCAGCGCTGGAGTAGTCTCGGCCGCAGCCATAGCATTAGTGCGAGGATGATCGCGATTGCTCTTTTCCTCAATCCAAAACCCCACACCCTGTAAACCCCGGACCTCGTGCATGCGGCGCTCCATGATCTCAACGACGGAGTCTGCTTTGTGTTGGAGCTGCTCCTCGGGTGCGGAGCCCCCCAGTTGCAGCTTCAGAAAACAATCAGGGACCCTGATCTATTGTACTCTAAACGGTAAAATGGTAGGAAACCCGCGCTAAGATGACTCCAAACAGCTTAGACCTAGACCCTCACAGGGATGCCTTACTTCGCCAGCCGTGTCGTGGTCAGTCTTCACAGAACCCCTTGAAGGATCAATGTTGAGTTTACCAAAGGTAGCTAATCCGATACGCACTCTCGTCTGAACCATACCAAAGGCATTTACAAAATGTACAAGCCCTTCAACTCATAGATCTTCACAGCTTGCTAGAAACCCTGGTCGTCCCTGCCTCTGTGGCCTTCGTTCGGAGATGAGGGAGAAGAATCTCCAATTTCTGCCCCTGCCAAAGAATGCGACTGTAGATGGGCCTTGAGCCTCCACCTCGTGCCAATGATCTCTTCAGAGAGTCGGCCCGCACTGAAACCCCGAGACGGGCCTCTGTCAGCTTGTCGAAGATAGTCCGCTGTTTCTTGTCGAGCTGCGCAGGCCTGGGAGGCCAAGCTAAGTGGAAATCGGGCTATGGCAGCATCGGGGTCGTCATTGCGGTCTGAATCTTGTGGCAAAGGAAACAATCGCAGGCCGGTGCTGGCGAGGCACTGGCGTGTGTGCTCCAAATGACCTCAAGGTGTTTAAGCTCAGCTTGTCGGTGGGCACGGGGCCGCAGACTCGCAGTTTGCCCATGTGCCGCCGAGATGCAGAACCCACATGATGATCCATGCTGGCAATGCCCCTTGGCGAAGTAGATGCCTGGGACGTCGGCTGACGGGCATCAAGCTAAAATAGCAGCACTTGAAGTTGAGATCTGGTGCATCGACGTCGACATAGCTGTGGATGTCCCAAGCTTCCCGGATTATCTGCCTCCTCAACCTTGATGAGTCCAAGGAAGTGTTGCTCTGTCTAGGCGCAATAGTGCAACTTGTGATGCATTCTGGGAACTGCGGGCGACAGCATGCCCTGAACAGTACGTTCCTTGAGATAGTCAGACACCTGCGCACGTTTTGAGGGAAGGCTCGAAAAGCGCGCTAAATCTCGCCAACTATCCCGCCTCATACCTGGGATCCCACTTCTGGAAGATAGAACGAATGGACGTCTGGAGCTCATTCTTCATGTCCTGCAGTGGAGATGGCCATCACGGGCCCGAGAAGCCCCAAGCCCCATGGAACATACAGTATACCGCAAGACTTCTATACCTCTAACCTAGCCAGCCTACGAGTGCCTTACTGTGACTGGGTCCCCGTCCTGGCCGAAATCAAAGTTCCGCTTCTTGGTTTGTGGCGGGGTCGACGGTGGAGTCAGCGGAACGGGAGGTGTCTGCGGCCTCTGAGGTATCTTCTTCGGCTCTGGATGTGGATCTGCTGCAACGGCGGGGAGGTCCTGAGCAACATAAAGAAACAGGGCCCGATAGCATCCCGAGACATCCAGGCATGCACTCCCGCTCTCTGCCCCAGCCTTCAGCAGCACTTTCTTTGGGGAACTTGGAGAGTCCATTCCTCCCAAACTCCCAAACCTCCCGTCGGTCCGCAAGCAAACTTCGGCACTAAACGACTAAGAGCCGTAGCACCTGCGGTTTGGGTGTGACCGGTGCATCGAAAGCTCCAACACTCATGCAACTTGATCTCTGCCAGCACCGGCGTACAACCCAACGCCAATGGGTGCCACTGCCAGTTCAGTCGGAATGCTCGACCGCACATCGATGTGTTATCATGTGTTCAGCTCATGTCAACGGCCCATGGCAGCAAGTCAATTCAATGAACAAGGCGGCGAGGCGGCATGGCTGCATAGCCGGTGCCTGAAACGCTGCAGTCGGCCGGCCTCTCCTGATCTACAGTGCAGCAGCTGAGCTTCGCTGTGCTCCCGACCATAAGCCGCTGGTGTGGCATAGTAGCCGGCCTGGGCGTTGCAAGGCAGGCTGGGCTGTACGACCACTCGGAAAAAACATCGGGAGGAAGGGAAGTGCACCGTGCTTACGATCACAAAACTTAACTGCTCCTCTACTTTTCGCATCGCGTCGACACGTACCGAAACCCCCCATCGTGGCATCTCTAAACTCGACCTTGGCTCCGCTTTTTTGCTCCTTTTTTAGCCACGGCAGGGGCTCCTCAGGCTGGAGGCACTCTCCTGGCTTGCGCTTTGGATTTCGAGTGTGTGGCGGACGAGGCCGAAAGCTTCCAGAGCGCAGGCTCCCCTGCCCTCCAGGCCTTCTTTGGGTTGCCCGCCACGCGCAACTGGAATCCTCAGGCAGTGTGACACTGTGACCAGCTGATACTCTTGAGGTGTAAGGACCGGATTAACACGGCCTTAGCTTCCAAAGCTTCAGAGAAAGATGGCCACAGTTAAGATTTAAGTCCCCCAGTGCCCTACTGCAGACGTGCCAAGCCAATCTCCCGCACTGCCAGCTTCAGCGGTCCTGTTGAGCTCGCATGCAAGCTCATAGTAGTACCCATACCTTGCCACGTCTGCCAACTCCGTGTATTGCATCTAAGCCTGACTCTTCGTAGCACGGAAGTGGGTCGATGCGAGACAGAAATCTCACGGATGCAACAAGTCAAAGTAGTTACCATTATCGTATTTTTCTACAAAAGCTGAAGATGTGCCCAGGCGCAGAGCTTGGACCACCCCAGGGCCTGAGCATTGTCATTCTGTTCCCTTCCAGCTCCGAATGTGCCTGAAGAATGATGGTAATACAGCTAATGCTGTGCTGACGATCTCTTCGCTGTCTAGAGGGATCTGGATATAATCTCAGGCAAATCTGGACAAAAACCTTGGGAAGCGCACTGATGTTCTTGAAGAAGCCCATACCGAATGCCGATGCCAAGCGTGAAACCAGCATGAAAGATGGGCATGCTCGACTGAATCATCGTGATCATCGCCCTCGTCATCGAACTGTTGGCTGTCTTGGCGCCAGGCTAGTGTTTGAAAGGACACCGTTGAAAGCCAAGACGAATTTACCCGGCATCCAGGTGTCGTGCAGCATCCTGGAGAGCATGCTCAGAACGGGTAATTACAAGTGCAGCAAACTTATGGTCCCATGTGAGCCAAACGTTGCCCGAAGCTGGGTGCCCAGCTGGGCAGTGGCTGGGTGGTAGGAGTTGAACTCGAACTGCGGAAGGATGCGCACCTGCTTTCGGCTTCTGTTGCTCATACCACGTCGCAGTCTCAGGCAGATGGGGCGCCTCTTTCGGATAGACGTCATCGTTCAGCCCGTGTCGAAACTTCTCCGAATTGAATCTCAGGAGGTCCCAGATCATGGCAGCATTCTCCCACCTGCGAAGTTTCTAAGGCTGGCGGCTAAGAACCACCGTCCTACAAGTTTCGCCAAAGGAGCCCTCTCATTTCCCGAACCACTGGCTCAGCCCGCGCACACGCCCTCAAAATTGTGGCTCCAGACCGTCGGCATCTGAAGTGCGACACAACTGTGCATTGCCAGGCCACCATGGGTGCGATATCCAAATCGAGTCCTGTCTAAGGAAACGACGTTTGCCATTTCATGAACCCGCTACCAGGACTCTGTAGCGCCGGACAACAAAAGGGCAAAATAGACCGCCACGAAACTTTTGGAGTATGAGCTTTCACGACTCTGGGAACACTTCGACTTTTTGCCAGCATTTCTCAAAGCCTTTGGAGATCGAAGTCACAGTATCGGATCCAACACCTAGCATTCCCAAGCCCTGCCCCAGCCGCCAGCTCCTGCTTTCCCCAGACCCGGCGCAAGAAGCTGCGGCTCCACTCGGAGCGCCGGAGGAGAAAGGCCCCGGTGTTCAGCATGGCAGCATCCTCAGGCATTTTGCAAGAAAAGTCATGTATCTTTCTGCAGTCACCACCCAAACCCACGAACTCTGAAGTGAAATTCAAGAAGCAGAAAACCAACTGAAGCGCAAAAACCCCCCGGAAGTTGCTTAAACCGAAGCCCGGGTCAGGGCCCGGCCTCGGCGGCAAGCATGTGAACATCGGCATCGAGGCCGCCAGCGGCTGCGGCATATCGGTAGAGCAAGGAATCCAAGGTCACCTCAGACCGGGAAGCCTGGAAATTCTTGTTGCGAGGAACTTCTGAATGAGTTCTAGCCGGAAGCGATCTTGCTTAGAGGGATTCGGCTTTGGGCGGCTGCATCCGTGTAACCACAGGTCTTAAAGCACCACACTCGGCAGATCTAAAGCACCAAACTCCAGAAAACCCTCTTTGGGGGCAAGAAAGGTTCCAGACAGCAATATGTCTGCAGCTTGTCCTCCGCCTGGTCATTCTCCGATTCTGCTCAGGACGGCCCTACTTGATAAGCTGCATGTTCACTTGCTTTCACCCGGCTTCCAGTGACATCTGATGCACCTCAAGATAAGATCTGAGTCGCGCTCATGTTCATGAAGAAGGTGTCGCAGTCAAACCACAGCCACCAATCTACGTCCAGCTCCTTGCTGTGACATCCGGCAACTTACGGTCCGCAAGCTGGCAAACAGCTGCGCGTAAGCGTAAGCCCTGATGACCCCAGTGCTAGGAACAGGCCCAAAATGCCCCGAAATGTCAGCGGCCCGTCCTCCTCAAGCACCTGCTGCAAGAGCCGAACCTTCCCCCAAGCTGGCGGTCTCTCGGGGGCCAAGTTTCGCTGCTCCAGGCGATATCCTGCTTTAAAGGCTTCACACTGTCACGAGGATTGAAGCTTGCGTTGGTGGGTTCAGAGTTCAGCACGTCAACGTGGGATCATGTGGGGGGCTTCCAGTACGCGACAGAATAACTTCAAAGCGCTTTAAGCTGTGTGGCTTGACTGGGGACTCGAGTTGGGAAGAGATTCATTTCAGTGCATAGTGGCATGTCCGATATAAAGGATGCTACTGTACACATGCAGCACGTCGTGGCCAACCTGGCTGAGTGGCGGTAGCCGTGGCGAGCTGCATAGGCTCCGTGGTTCGAGGCAGCGTACCGCGGCAGCGGATTCTCAGGCGGGTACGCGCCTGGGCACACCGGAAAACCGATGCAACGATCGCGGGAAGGGACAGAGTCATCACAAGATGAAAATCAAAATCACGCCGGGTGCGACGTAGCAGTGCGATTACTTAACAGTCGCTGAGTTACATGGGTAACCCGCCAGGCACAGAAAGATAAAGAAAGCGTATGCATGTTGAACACGTGCATATTAAATATGGATATAACCCGACACAGTGTGGTCACAAGCTGTCAGTTGGTTCTGAATCAGAAAACTGAGTTGGACACCGACTGTCACCATAAATGCGGAGAAGCCGTGAGGACTGCACGTCATCAAATCCAAAAAACAACGGACCGACCCCTGAATCGAACTCAACTCACAAGCCGGCGAACCCCGGCATACATTTCCGACATGACCGTAACAAAGCTCGTTCACAAAATCGCAGCCAACCATAACATGCCACGACAAGGAGGCTTGACATATGTAGTCCATGGCTGGACGGGAGTGCACGTGCAATGCCGGAGCATGGCTCTTAAATAAGAAAGCAAGACGTCAGCACCGCTCATAAAGTGCTCACGCGTGAAACCCGAACCCCGAAGTCCAAAGATCCGTAAGCAGCAAGCCCTACTACCGTCGCGCACGAAGAGGGCCGGGGTCCAGGCACACACTCGCAATACCGATGTTCAAGCTGACGTCCCGCCAGCCTGGGTGAGCTCGGCGAAGCTTTCATGTACATTGGTACAGACGAGTGAGGCGGTAGCTTTCAGGAGTCGTGGTAGAGCGTGGCCTCGGCTTCTCTCTGCGCTCGAGGACGAATTCCAACTTGAAGTTATAGCCCCCGACCTTGACGCTTGGTCTGCTTTGGCATCGGCCAGCGTGTTCTGAACCACGTGCATTTCGATATTCAGCTCCTAGCGTTTTGAGCGATCGCGGGGATAGGTGATGCAACCAAGCACTACTACCATAAAAGCTCCGATTCTTTCCACTCATTTCGATCACTTGTATTTATTTCGATCACTATCGGATACTATGAGCATTGTCGGGCTTCTTATCTCTAGAACCCACAGCATGCGGGGTCCGGGTCCCGAACTCTAAACCTGAAACCCTCAACCCCTAACCCCTAAACCCCCAACCCCTAACCCCTAAACCCTAAACCAAACCCTAAACCCTAAACTCCGAAACCCCCAAACCCTAAACCCTAAACCCCTAGACCCCCTAAACCCTGAAAGGCCCCAACTAGACTCCTTGAGGCCGATAGGCCAGGCGGACTCGTCGATGTAAGAGCGGTCGTACCAGGCCCAGCCCTCCCCCGGGCCTCCGCCGTCCTCCGACAGAAGCTCCCCTTTTAGGGTCCTATCATCGGGCACCTTTAGGGTACTGTAAGAGTGTACTACGAGGGCTCTATCATGACTCTACGATAGAGCAGTTTAGTGGTTCAGGGTTTAGGACATAAGAGCTGCCCAAGGGCCCAAGAACCCAGACCGCAAGGCAAACGGGCTTCCCTGCTCCTCTCGCCGAGCGAACTTCTCCCAGACATGCGTAACCTTCAACAACCCACGCACATGATAGCTGCAT